GCGTCACATTTAGTTTTACAGGAGGTGAATATGATTGAATTTAGTTATAAATTGTTAAATATGGGAACAATACAACTGAGGACATTTTTAATTTCACCTGGACTTTAAAACACGTGGTAAAAAAAACCAAATGGTGTCCAATCAGTCTGGCTTTTGTTACCTTTTGTTAGCTGTTATCATTCTACAAACTGCGACCCCTCAGATTTATCAGGAGACCCTGTACGTGTACTTTTACTACTGATACCTTAAGTACGTTAAGACTTAGAGAGTATTTTTATTTTTACATTGCATTTGCATTCAGTGTCCTTCAATTAAACTTTATTTGTATATGTAGAATATACGACTCATTCTAAGGTAACAAATTTTTGTTTTCCGGTGATTAAATACAAAAAGAAAACATACTTATAAATATTATATAATATTTCTTTACGTTAAGGATCTTCCACCGATTAGCTATCAGGAATGACGGATGGACGAAAAACTAATTTTCGTTCTGTTTCCTGTTTAGTGGTTTCCATAGTAACAACATCCAGTCCATCCCGGAGCACGCCTTCACCGGGAACCCCTCGCTCATCACCATGTGGGTACCTCTGACTCATCTAATGGATCAAAGTCCACTTACTAGGTTTTCTTTAAAGGGGGCTTTCAACTGTATTGAACTTCTCGTCCAGGTTGGGTTCAAAGTGGCCAAAAAGTGACAAATATCATTAGAGCTACTGAGACAGTTGAAAGCTCGGGGAAAAACAATGTAAGGGGACCTTGAGTGGGGATGGTTTTGCTTTTTGTTTCTTTTATATCTCAGCTTTTTATTTCTTGACCTGCCCTGTTGTTAAAAGGCGAGTCTGTATATCTAATTAATCCATTTTATAATCATTAAAATGTGACGTTTCACCAAATTGAACCTCATAATATGATCAATTTTAGTTGCTAATCATCCAATATGTTGCCAATGTGTTATCAAAGTGTGATCTGATGGATCTGTTTGTGTTTTTATAGATTTTTCTACGACAACCCGATCCAGTCTGTCGGACAATCTGCCTTTCAGAACCTCCCGGAGCTACGAACACTGTGAGACTATGATGCAGCAGATTGCATTAAAAGTATTTATTTATTTATTGTGTACCCCTTTGGAAAAGTCAGCAGTGACCTCACTGGTGGCGGCACTCACTGAGGAGAATGTTTATACTTTCGCCACCTCTGGCACCTCTCAGACAAATCCCTCTTCTGATTTTTGAGCTCTCCTTCGTCCATAAAACGAAAACCAGAAGTCTGATGCAGTAATTATCCGCTGCCTCAGTAAATCAGACGCTAATTACACGAAGAATGTAAACACAAACTGAATGAAAGGGGGGCAATATTCCTCTGTATTCCTGTATTCGACACCAATCTGCGTCTCTCGGCTCTGAAACAAACACAAACTGTCCGTCTGTTCCTCAGCTCTCTAAACGGAGCCGCAGATCTCACCGAGTTTCCAGATCTGACAGGAACCAAGAGCCTGGAAAGCCTGTAAGACACACACACACACACACAAACACACACACAGAGGAATGCTTCATATCGTTGTGTTTGCTGTTGTAGCCGACATCAGTGTGTGTTTTCAGAGCCGAACCTCAAATCAAACTGCTGTTATTAATACGCTGCAGTTATTATTCCATCTGACAGACTCTAACTTTATTTTTGTTTTTCTGAAATTAAAAACCCACTTTTTTTTCTCCTCCTTGTTGTGACCTAGTTTTCCGTGTCATAATAAACACCTTCGCAGTGTTTATTTTCTTGTATTTTTCCGTTTAACCTCATTTGTGGAAGCAGCGTGTGTTTAACTGTAACCTCAAACTGAACCAGTAGGTGGAAATACAAACTCCAACCAAACAAACCAACGCACATTCTTCAGCTCTCTGCTCCGAGATGTTCCCGTACGCCTCCGCATCCTGTCTCAACAGGACATCGAACTGAGGGGAATGTGGCTAAATTGTAGCATAACTAGCTTTCCATTAACATCAAACAATGTAGGTTTCATTAGAGTTTGCAATAATAGCACTAATAACATACATCTGGTGAGGTTTTATCCATTATTTTATTCTATTTCCAGTTTAGTTCCACCTTAAATGCACCTGAACACATCGTAGTAGAATGTAATACACTTTTGTTGCATTTGAACACACCACAATACTTTTTGAATGCACCACAGCCCACCAGAAGTCACCTGAACACACCATCATGTTTTTTTAATGTCCCTGAACACAACATTGTACAATATGATATACCTTAAATACACTTGAACACACCATTATTCAACTAAGCATATCATAATACAACTTTGATGCTCCTGAGCACACCATAATTTAACTAGTGACATCTACATACATTCACAGTATTACTGAACGCACCATTGTGTAAACAAATTCACTTTTCATGCACCTGAACACACCATTATGTTTTTTAAATGTTCCTGAACACCCCATAAAAACTATTTTATAAAACACTATTGATGCACCTGAATGCATCATAATACTTTTTTTTTGTGTGTGTAGGACCATCACAGGAGCTCGGATCACCTCTCTGCCCAGTTCGGTGTGTGAACAGCTTCCAAACCTTCAGCTGCTGTGAGTTCAAATATAAATATATAATAAATAGTATCTGCAGGTATTAATTTATCCTGATTGTTTGTTTAATTTCGCTACCATCCATCAGCTCGTTGTTGAGATATTTTAGTCCCTGGAGTCGAGCTGCTAAGTACAACAATATGTGAGGCTGAAGATCTTCATTTAATATGTTTGAATATTGATCTCCGTCCGCTGTGAGTTTCTGTTGACATGCCGCGCTGTGATGCGTTCTGGACTTTTGAACTGTGATGACAACCGAAGCTTTCTCTCCGCAGCGATCTCTCCTATAATCAGATCCAGACTCTTCCCAGTTTCTCCAGCTGTGAGAGCGTTCAGAAGATGTAAGTTTTTTACTTTTTAAAAAGATTTTTTATTAACTTGTTATTTTAAAAGTTTAGATAACACTGTAAAACCAGATAATGAGTTAATTTAATTAAAAAAAACTGATTACATTGAAAGAAAAACTAACTCTATTTTGTAAGTTAAAACATTATTCATTAAGTAGCTTTAGTTTTTTAGTGAATTTATTATTGTATTATTGTAAAAAGTACAATATTGTGTTAAAGTTTAAGATGTAATCTGGATTTTTCATAAATTTTTCTGTGTTAAAATAACTTATTGCATTAGTGTTTTATTAAATATATCTAAACTCTGATGACCTGAACACAAACTGTATCAGAACAATTATCAGAGGAGAAGAAAAGCAGCCTGTTAAGATTGTTAAGAGTAAAAAAATAAACATAATACAGAAAAGAAATATCAGAAAAAATTCTGAAAATGCGTCCAAATCTGCGGTTTCACACCAGCTTCCTGCAGTTATTGTGTTCACTGTTTGGGTTCATTGTGCAGTTTATCAGCTGTTTTGTGTGTGTTGAATATAATCAGTTTACTCAGTGACAGATAAACGGGGTCCCTTAAGGAAAAAGGTCGTCTGTAACGCCTCTAATGTGCAGCTATCTGATCCACTTCACAGTCACTGTATTCTTAACAGTTACCATAGCAACCGATAAAGTACAGCCAGCTGTGAATTATGGGAATAATTAGCACCGTTGTAGTCTATTTTCTCGACCAATCAGATCGCTCAGAAACAAAACTCTCTGCTGTGCTGTAAAACAGATTGATAAACGTGATGTAATGGAAATATCTGTGTGTGTGTGTGTATTGTAGTGATCTGCACCATAACGAGATACAGGAACTGGAGGAGAACACCTTCCACGGTCTGATGTCACTACGCTCTCTGTACGAACACACACTCACACACACACACCTCCACACGACCACACACGCACACACTCTCTCACACACACACACACACACACACACGACACACACACACACAGTCTGCAGGTTTAATTAGGCTGGAGATCCTGAGCAGTGATCCGAGGATGCCCCCTTTAAACACTTCCACATGGAAACACACACACAGATCCAGGTGGTCTGGTTGTTGATGGGACAGGTATGATGCTAGAGTCTGGCTCAAAGTCAGGAATGTACACAGAATACTCCTGATACTACTGATAACTGATAGCTCGCCCTGGCATACTACCTTGGATTACTGCAGGTGCAGCTGATACTCCTGATACTACTGATACTGATACTGCAACTAATACTGCTGATACTGCGATGGCTGTGCCATCTGTGTGTCAGTGCTAGTATGGGTTAGCTTAGCATCATTGTTAGCGCTTTGTATCGCTCCTGATGAGCAGTTGCGTTGGCCGCCAGTGTACAAATGTGTCTGTGAGTGAAGCCAGAAAAGTAACCAATGTTCTCAAATAAATAAAGTAGAAAACACATATTTAAAGTGGATTATCAGACTAACTGTAATCTAAGTTTCCTTTTCAACTAAAAACTTCCTCCAACTCCACTCTCCGTCATGCCTTTCTGAACATTATGACTTATTTTATTATCGTATTATAGAAATAAGAGCATTATAATATCCACAGACGTCCGTTTATCCCGGGATTAGAAACAAAGACCGGCTGTTAAATGAGATCTCGTGGTGCTTTTTGTTTTAATCCACTAACACGCCTACGGTAAACATGAGGTCAGCAGCCAGAGGTTACTGGTTGCTGGTTCAGCTCCCTGACTGCCTCTCTCTCTCTGTAGGGACATATCGTGGAACAGATTGACGTCAGTGAAGCCGAACTCTTTCTCTGCTCTGCCGGCTCTGACCAAACTGTGAGTAACCAGACTGCGTAACCATGACGACCTCATTTAAAGAGACTTTACCGGTTGTTACAAAAACGAGGCTCAGCGACGGCGGCGGCACTGAGAACTAATCAGATCTTTGACTTAAAGTTGTTATCAAGGCCTGAACGTGATGTGTTATCATTGGAAAATTGGGCGTCACAAGTGGTCGGGCTACAAATAGAGCCGTGAGGGGTTCAAGTTTAAGGTTTGTGCCAAAAAATACACCAAATATGGGAAGTTTTTTCAAATTTATTTTTGCAGTCTGGTTCAATCACTGCAAAGGCTCTGCTACTGGAGTCTTAATTAGTATCACTGTGTTTACCCGACTGTTTCATGTCAGAATGGCTGCTGTGAAAAAGGTCTATGTTGCAGTGTCGGATAAACTCCTGTTTGTGAGCAAGCGCTGTCCTGCATTGTCAAGAATAATTCCTGGAAAGTGATTCCTTGGGGATCCTGGAGTTGATTAATCAATCAGTCAAACTGTATTTGTACTTTCATACAGGTTAGTGTAGTTCACAGACGAGCCAATAATAAGACAGAATGAAGAGAGATAATAATAGAGAGAAATAAAAACTAGATAAGGTAAATTTTCAAATATAACACAAAGGTAAAAATGACAATAAAATAGATTTAAAAGTATAACAATAAATAATGTTTAATAAATTAAACGAAATAAAATAGATTGAGAGGAGGAAAGAAGAAAAACTAACTTCTGATACACAAATCTGTTTTCAGTTTTTGGACTTGTCTTTAACTTTTGGTATTTTTTTTTATAAAATATTGGAAACTTTTACCTCTTTTAGACTTGAACAGTTACTTAAATGAAACCATGTGAGTAGCTGGCAGAGTGAGCAGTTTGTAGAAAATGTCTCTGGTTTTAAATGATAACAGCTGCTGTTTTTGTAACGAGCCAAACAGGTTAGTTTAATCTTAATAACACTGCAATTTGTTAGATTATCATGTTTTTGATGTAAAGTTTTAACCTTTAGAGTAACTAAAGTTGTCACATAATTGTAGTGGGGTCAAAGGTATAAAATAGATAGATAAATAAAGTACTTCAAAATTCTACTTAAAGCTCCTAAAATGAACGTTTATTTTGTGTTGATTCTGGCGCCCCCTGTGGACAAAGGCGATAGTGTTTCTACTGTTTCCTTCATTGATTTCAAGGGGAATCCGACCCCATTAATAATAAATTATTAAACTTCATAACCAGTTAAAAACTCCTTGTAGTACGATTATTTACAGTGATTACATTGTGATATCAATAAATTATTGATTATTTGTTCCTCTCTCTGCAGCGACCTGTCGTCCAATCAGCTGTCGTCTCTGCCTTTGATTGGTCTGCAGAGTTTGACTCACCTGCGACTGGCTGGAAACACTCAGCTGATGGAGTTAATATCCCGAGAGGACCTGCCCAGAGTCAGGTAAACACACACATAAACAAATGGACCGTAACTCATACCTCCCAATAAGTAACTAGTTACAACCTTACTTTTGTTGTCCCCTCCACTGATTCGAAAACCAATAATTCAATTACATCCCCATAACTTTGATTTTAACAAACAAAACTAGATTTGGGGGGAAAAGGAACCAAAACCACTAAAACCACAACACTCGGGGCAAGAGAGGGGGCATAAAATTTGTTTAAACCTGCAGTAGGTCATTTAAAAAAAAAAAAATCTTGTCATATTTGCTGAAACTTTCGCTATATCCTGACAGTAGAAATCTAAAAAAGTAGAAGATCAGCTCTCTCTGGCTCCTGCCTGGCGCCGCCCAGTGGGGATTTGTGAAGAATCCCACTGGCCAATAAAACAACTAATCAGAACCGAGAGAATATGGAAGAGAAAGCTTGTGCGTTGGTGCTTGACATAGGTTGTTGTTGAGTCTTATTCCGCACCGCGTGCAGATATTTAACACCATGGGAATGAGACTCAGACAATCAGGCTATCTGCTTAGTCCGCTGCTGACTTGTTGGTTGGTTTTGATTCTGGCCGGTGGACGTTCTTTCCAAACTGACATTAGGAGCCACTGAGGAGGACGCCAGAGGAACCTGATGTCTTCTTACAGATTAGTCTGTCCGTCATGTTCTGACTGTCAGGATATAATGCATGCAAGTTGTCAAGCACAATGTGACAAAGTTGTTTTTATAACAAGGTCTCTAGGGACCTCCAGACATTGGCTGCCAGGAGAGGAGGGATGAGCACTCAGTTTAGAGAGGCCTTGCCGGAATCCTGTCCACTTGTTTCTCTTCCCCAGCAGACAGAAATCTCTGCAAATAACAGCCAAGCGCGAGAATTTAGCTTTCGTAACTGGACAGATCGGTTACATTTCTGGAGCCACTTGAACAACGGACTGAATGGAGCTCCTCATTCGTTTCTATGAAGGAGCATTTAAGGGCAGTCCGCGTGGTAGAAGCAGGTCGTGTAAGAAAGCTCTTTGGACTGTGTGAGGTCGGCGCGGACGCGGTGTTTGGAGCAGTTCAGAGATGAAGACAAGAGATGGTAAAAGGGGTTTATCAGATTGTGCTTAGGGTGGTGTTTGCAGGCTTGACGGGGAGCTTCCCTACGTCCTTCCAGTGCTGTGCCTTCCATCTCCTGGTGAGAGAATGAGGAGGAGGAGGAGACGCGACCCGGAGT